AATCTGGATTTGTCCCTAAACGCGAGGCCAAACATAACACAACAAAACTGCTAAATCTCATTCACCTCTCCCACACCACTCAAGGACAGAGCCTACTGCTATCTATAGACGTGGAAAAAGCGTTTGATAGAGTAGACTGGACAATGCTGAACGCCACCCTTCAAGCCATGGGTTTTGACCTAAATTGGATGAAATGGTTGGGAGCCATATACTCCAAACCAACGGCGAAATTGACGGCCAACTGTCAAGTTCAGTACACATTAGAAATGGCATGAGATAGGGGTACCCTCTCTCCCCTTTACTCTTTATCCTCTCTCTAGAACACTTTCTGCAGGGAATACGAGACCACAACACCATTCACGGCTTTACCGTCCACCAACAGGAGTTCAAGGTCTCCTAAGATGACCTATTGTTTTCCATCACTGACCCGCTCACCTCCTTGCCACCTCTGATCGCTGAATTGACGACATACGCCAAACTGTCCAACTTTAGGGTCAACTACACAAAGAGCGAAATCTTACCCCTCCGACTGGACAGACATACACAACTTGAGCTTAAAGTCACGTACTCCTTCACGTGGGCTAAGAGGTCCATCTACCCAGACACCTAAAGCACACATATGATCTGAATTTTATACCACTCCTTACCACAATATCAAAAGATCTCGGGGACTGGCAGAGGCCCGTCTTCAGCTGGCTTTGTAGGATCAACATATTGAAGATGAATACATTGCCTAAAGTGTTATACCTCTTACAAACACTCCCCATTGCGATTCCCCCTTCCTTTTTCTCCAAACTCAAACAAATGTTCACGACTTTCATTTGGGCGAATAAGCGCCTGAGAATAGCCTACTCAGTCCTGACTAGACAAAAAGGACGGGGAGGACTGGGCCTACCTCTCATGGAATGCTACTACCAAGCGGTCATACTGACTAGAATATACGAGTGGACCGCAGTACATCTGCTAAAGCAATGGGTACACATAGAAACCTCAATGTTCCAATCCCCACTATACACAGTTCCATGGCATGACGAGGGACATACACTCCTCCTGCCGCAACACTCGCATCACCCAACGATTCTACCCACAATACGTCAGTGGTCACGCATTAGATCCCAGAAAGACATCTCACCACATCCCTCACCCTTCTATCCTCTGGCACACAACCCAAAGTTTTTACCAGGCATACGCCCCCAATTCTTCTCTCTATTCCCACCAACCCAAAAGACAAGATACCCGATGGTTGGCACGGCTGTGACACCAGCAGGAGTAGCTCCATTATCTATGTTAGCCTCCACAGACCGCCCCTCTACCAAACAACATTTCCAATACGCTCAGTTGGCCCACTATCTGAAGGGGGACTTACACCTTCTCCAGGGACCAAGAACACACACCACTTTTGAAACCTATTGCACCACTCATAGCCTCCAGACCAAGCACCTATCTATATTTTACAAACTCCTTAGCACCACAAGCCACGCTCTACCACCCACATTTACGGCGGCATGGGAAGCTGAGCTAGACCACCATTCCCAGGAAACATGGCATAGAATATTCACACACGCCCATGCCACGTCTATCAGCACAGCAGTAAGGGAAAGCACGTACAAAAGAATATCCAGATGGCATTACTCACCCACTAAGATCCATGCAATCTTCCCAACAGTGCCTGATATATGTTGGAGATGCGGGCAACCTAAAGGAACCACAGCCCACATTTGGTGGCTATGCCCAACCATCCAAACTTATTGGCAGAGGCTGAGAAGGCTAATAAAATCTATCACGGGTCATCAGTTATCACATTCATCTGAAACTTTCCTATTTCTCATACACACCACCCATATACCAAGTCACCATTGTAAGCTCGTCAACCATATGCTGACACCAGCAAACATGTTGATACCATTAAAATGGAAGAGCACTAACGTTCCATCAGTACGGGAGTGGATACAGAAGGTGGAATTCATACAGATCATGGAAGAATTAGACGTATCATACTCAAATAAATATACCGTATACACCCTAACATGGCAACCATGGTTGACCTATCTAGGTCGATAGGGCCATTTGAGTACCGTTCATATATGACCTTCTCACTACTTACACCATTTCTACCCCACCCATCCATCCCAATTATGCACTGCCAAATATACAACACTACGAGTTGAATATATGCCTTCTGACCAAATTTGTATTATGCTCACTGACTAGATTCTCTAGAATTACATTCTGTTACTTTACTTTATGTTAAAATTGTGAAAAAGAAAAAATGCGCAGATTCTGATGCCTGCATATCCTGGAATATTGATTGTTATACTAATGTGGCGTCTGTCATCCATGTCCTGTAATATTTTATGCGCAATAAAAAAAAAAAGTTATCAACTCTTATCCAATTTGCACCCGCTATGTTACTTCGAGGGCACTGGTTTTCAACAAGAGCACCCTAATCCAGTGCAAGCACATAGACCTCAGGGCTGTAGCAGTTTGAACGTAATGCTTAAAACTGTTTGTTTAATAAAGTGTCAGCTTAAAAATTTGGATTTCCACGTGAATATATTTTTAATACTAATGTGAACATTTTGCTAGGAGAAAACAATTCTCTAGGTAGGCTATATGCAAATTTAACATTTGTAAGCTGCGGAAGAAGATACAAAGAAAAAAAAAAATACAGTTGTGCCTTGGAAATGCTGTTATTGAAGTGGGTCTTGGTCCAAAAATGTTTGGAAGTCACTGTTCCACACCATACCACTATCCAATTATAGGCCTACCAAGAATCCTGCATAGCACATTCAATTAAAGTGGCCTAAGCTTCACTTTATGGCACAGCACTGTGGATCCACCATGGCTGAGAACATTTTGCATGGCCGAGGAGCTACTTGCAATATGTAATTACATATTTTCACTGGATTGATTTTTGGGCATAGTGCATAGACAGGTGTAGTGCCTGTCCTGGGGGAGCGGGTTGGCAAATTGGACCTAACAGGGTGAGGGTTGTTGTTACATACACCCCTGATGTTCCTTATTGCTCCTCCTAATTATAGTCACTATTTGTCTTTTACTTTATCCTCTTTTTTCTGAGAACAGTCTCTCACTCGTCAACTGCCCTCTAACCATATATTTTAGGTGACAAGTGATGATGTTGTTTTGTAATTTCTTTTTATTCATTCAATCCCCCTTTCTTTTTCATGGTAGTTATTATTACCATTTATATAGCACCAACATATTATGTAGCACATGATTTTTCAGAAGAAATAATTGACATACAAATTATTTACAGAGACAAGAGTTTAAGAAGGCCCTGCTCATACAAACTTACAATTTATTTATAGTTCTTGTTTTGAAACATTACCTTTAATGAAACATGATTTTTTTTTTTTTTTTTAAACGAATATACATTTTTTACAAATGACTTTTATATCTCGCTAAGCAGCCATGTTGGGTCACACTCTACTGTTGATCAACTGCTGCTTAACCTAACTTATCTGCTGCTATGATTGCCCTGTATGTAACTGCAGCAGTAGGAAAGTAAGGATGAGCAGCAGGTAACAGAGTCTGACCCAACCTGGCTGCTCAGCCAGATTGAAAGAAAGAAAAAAAAAAAACTGGTTTTCTTTTTTCCTCAACAAAATCAATATACATAATTTAAAAAAAAAACATTTGTTTACATGTAACAAATTTTTTTAAAGCTGGAGTGATCAAAAGTATTCTGGTCTTAACTCCAAATAAACACAAAAAGATAGGGAATTGGGGGTGGGGATTTTTCAATAGTGGTGCTTATGTAAAACTGTATATTATTTGTACTCTGTTGCCTTCATATACATATATTTTGGATCTGTATGGCAACACCCCTATTAAAAAAAACGCATGTTCTGTGTGTGCGCACCCCAATTACCCTGTTTATGTGTACATTTTAAGTCCAGACCAGATTCATTTTGGGTTGAGAACTCGGACCCTCCACTGCAGGTGCCCTTTGGAAGTGCCACAAAAAGCATGTAAAGCAGGTGTGGAATTAATTAACCAGGATGCTGAGTAGCTATCATCAAAAGACTATTTTAAGAGAGATATGCATAACAGTTGCAGTTATTTTTTTCCTGAGGAAAGCCCTTAGCAAAGTGAAATGTGTACGGCGTCTTGGGAACATAAGAAGGGGGACTAGACAATGACCTTCCAGTGACCCCTTGTTCTTTAAAATGAAGACCCCAACCAATGCCCACGGGTAGAGGTAGGGCAGGGGTGTACATTACTAGCGAGTGGGCCATTGGCTGCATGCTATTTAGCGGTCATATGATTAACCCTTGCACTGGCCAAATTGGTTTCCAGAACTGAAATTCAGCCAAATCGGCACATTGCAGAGCCTGACACGTCCTCTACAACGTTTTCAATTCTGAAAACTTTAAAATCGTAAGAAACAAAGAATTGTACCATGCAGAAGTCTAAATTTAGCAACTCACCAAAATTCTATTTTGCAAATATAGGTTAAACCTAACAAAACCTGTAACTTGGGACTACAAGACAATTCCTTAAGAACTACAAGACAAGTCCCAAAGGACTGAATGCCGCCAGCGATTTCCCTGCTGCATAAACCTCTTTCATACATTAGCTTTAGAGTATAGTGAAACAAACAAGTAACAGTAATAATGTGTGCATGAAGTTTTTATATAGACAGACTGCTTCTTTTTTTATTGAAATAACTGTGTTGCAAAGATAAAAGATCTTTAGTTAGCCTTTGAACATAGGTTTGAATTGCAGTCATAATTTGTAACGTCCACAAAATCATACATGTAAGAATGCAAATAATCTCAATAAAGTATTCCCAAACACAGTAACTTCCTATTGGTAATGTATTTACAAATGTTAAGAAAATTAGGAAGGTGAAACACTCTACCACCCAACATAAAGGAAACCCAGGGTATCAGATATGACTGCATTGTATTTAAGAAGGCGCATTTCACAGTCGTTAAATGGGCAAACTTTTATGCTTAAAATATTCACTTTTAGTCAGTCAATGCCTTGAAAACTATCCACAGAAATAGGAAACGTTTTACAGTTATCTATTGCCAGCATTCATTATTTCCATGGTGACTTCCTTGACACATTCTCATTTGTTTCAGCTGCTTCTTTAATAACTTGAAGTACCAATTCATTTCGTTTCCGCACCTCGGCCAAAGTTGCTGGATTCGCTTCTGGATAATTCTTGAAATGAGAAAAGAAAATGTACTTTCAGCAGAGTCACATTTAAAACGTTTCCTTCTTTTTACTGTGTATACTATTTACAACTATTAATTTATTAACTATTTAGATTGATCATTCCAAAGAACCCTGAAAAACAAGTTGCAATGTCATGCAATTCCAAGCACTATGACCACAATAAACTGCTGTAGTTTTTATGGTGCTAGGAATTCCGTGGTGCGCACTACTTACTCACCCCAATGTAAGTAGTTAAACTATTTCTGAACAGTATGAATTCTTAACTTGTGGGCACCACTCACTGCCTACCTTTATAGTAAGCAGTTCTCAGCTACACCAGGTTGTGCACAGCTTAGCACTCTGAGAGTGATCAGACAATGAGCCATACCTGCACTGCAAGGTTCCGCTGAGGGGAGCTAACTGAAGCACAATACAGCTCCTTCCAAATCCATGGTAAGAGGCAACCAGTGTCTGGCACACCCTTGGTATGTTGTCAAAATGGTTTTACTACGTATCCTGTGAGGGTTCCATGGCATTCTTGGCACCATAACCATTACACCCATATGTAGTTATGGTGCTTGGAGTATTTCTTTATAGAGCCAGAACCACTAATGCATTCAACGTGGATCATTTATAAACTACACAAAACAGAATAAAGACATGAGAAATGTGCATGAATATGGCAAAAGAGAATGGGACCACTTACAACAAGAACTATATGGCCATTTGCAAAAAATATGTAATCAGACCCCCTGTATCAATTAACATCTGGAACACATGTTTTGTCTTGTTATGTCCTTTTTGTATGTGAGTTGTTTACAGTGAGATCTTTAAACAACATAGGGGTTTTACTAAATGTAACTATACCACTTCATGCCTATGTGGGTAAAAGTAATGTTTACCGATATGTGTGTCTTACTGTATATGTTATATATGGGATGTTTTGTTAATTGTATCTTCTTTTTTTGTCAAACTCTATTGTGTTAAAAAAAAAAAAGTAAAAAAGTGGAGCTGATATCTCCGAATAAAGATTATAAATTGAAAAAAAAAACACACATCTGGAACACATCTGCCGTATGTTATTTATGATTACCGGTTTTATTAATGCAAAGTTAACTAAAGTTATATGCCAGTGTAGCAGACGCATTATAACTCCTGCTAGAAGCTATTACAAAATGTTCCTCTGCTGTGAACCTAGAATGTATGTAGTGGTTAGTCCTTGGTTGCTTCAGCTCTGACGTAACAAGGAAAACTATTTATTTCCCTGGACTTAGTAACACACTATGATTTAATTTATTAACTTATTGTTGCCATCCCACAATAGGTGGGATAACAGTTTGCCTAGTTTTACATGAGACAACCCAGCGGTGACCATATATGCTAGAACACCACTGTGCACTTTAACTCATGGCTACCTCTTCATATTTTGTGGACCCAGGACATACTTGAAAACGAGCGAAATCTCAATGTATCTTTCCTGTTAAAATATTTTATTTTTTTTAAATCATATTTGATTGGCCTCCAATAACACAGTGGCTAAGCTTCTGTTTATTTTCTATTTGGCGCATAGTTACACATCAGGAGCGCTTGCTATTTAAAGCTACCATAAAGACGCACTGTCAGCATCTTACTACATCGCTCTTACTGCAATATTCATAATAGAAGCTACCAGGGCCCATTTATTGTTGCCAACCTTCACGAGTCACATGCACTTTCATGGCTAGTCTCATTGGCCCACCAAAGGTCTGAGACAATTTTATAATTAACTAGGGATCGACCGATATTGATTTTTTAGAGCCGATACCGATACCGATAATCTGCAAACTTTCAGGCCGATAGCCGATATCTTGCCGATATTCTGTACATTTACTATTTTGAATAAATAAACTAATTCGAAAGGTAAACGCATAAAATATACATGCCACATGTAGTGGATGAAGTGTGTTTAGACAGGGGAACTGTGTGTGTTTGTGTAGTGTGTGTGTGTGTGTGTAGTGGATGCAGAGTGTGTGTTTGTGTAGTGTGTGTATAATGAATGTAGTGTGTGTATAATGCAGTGTTTTTGTGTGTGTTTGTGTAGTGTGTATGTGTGTGTATGTAATGCGTGTATGTAATGCAGTGTGTGTGTGTAGTGTGTATGTAATGTAGTGTGTGTATGTAATGTAGTGTGTGTATGTAATGCAGTGTGTGTATGTAATGCAGTATGTGTGCAGTGTGTTTGTGTAGTGTGTGTATGTAATGCAGTGTAGTGTGTGCAGTGTGTGTGTCTGTAATGCAGTATGTGTGCAGTGTGTGTGTGTGTTTGTGGTGTGTGTAGTGTGTGTGTCTGTAGTGTGTGTATGTAATGCAGTGTGTGTGTGTGTGTCTGTGTAGTGTGTATGTAATGCAGTATGTGTGCAGTGTGTGTTTGTGTAGTGATGTAATTTGTGTAATTTCTTATTTTAATATTTTTTTAATATTTAAATGTTGTTGTTTTTTGTTTAGTCCCCCCCCCCTAGTGTGTGTTTGTGTAGTGTGTGTGTAATGCAGTGTGTGTGTCTGAGTAGCAGTATGTGTGCAGTGTGTGTTTGTGTGTGTGTGTGTGTAGTGATGTAATTTGTGTAATTTTTTTATTTTAATATTTAAATGTTTTTTTTTTTTTGTTTAGCCCCCCCTCCCTGCTTTTTACCAGGGAGGGGGGATATAGTATTCCCTGGTGGTCCAGTGGCTTGTTAAGTACAGTGGTGGCTCAGCAGCAGCAAGCGCTGACTTACCTTGCAAGCAGCTCCAGCAGCTCCCTGTGTAAATCTCGCGGCTCTTAGTGCTGCGCGGAGCGTTGCCATGGTACCCCGTGGCAACGCTCTGCGACCGCGGGTCTCGCGAGATTTACACAGGGAGCTGCTGGAGCTGCTTGCAAGGTAAGTCAGCGCTTGCTGCTGGCCCCCACAGGACCGCCGGGCTTGTAATGGGCACGGCGGTCCTGTTATATATAATCGGCAATATCGGTATCTGAATTGGCCGATACCGATATTGCCGAAAATACCAAATATCGGCCGATAATATCGGCCAGACCGATAATCGGTCGATCCCTATAATTAACACAATGCATCTCGATATGTTTTTACATGTCTCTTGTTCATTTTTATTATGCCGCTCCAGTGAGCTGAGTCTATCCCAACATATGCTCCCTATCCAGGGACGTATTAGCCGCGAGGCAAACAAGGCATTTGCCTTGGGCGGCATTTTCCCAGGGGGGCGGCAAAAAAAGTCGCCCACAAATGCCCAGGGCAAATGTCGTTAGCCTCGCGGCTAACTGACAAGCCGGTCGAGCGGCGCTGGAGCACTTTCCTCTGAGCTCTCTGCTCAGCATCCTCACGCGCCGCAGAGTGAGGCTGGGAGCCGGAATATGACATCATATTCCGGGTCTCACCAGCCTCACTCTGCGGCGCGCGAGGGAGCTGAGCAGAGAGTTCAGAGGAAAGTGCTCCCTCGCCAGCGCCGCCCGACCAGCACCTAGCCAGCCCGCCCAGCAGCCACCGGACCCCCAGGGAAAGGAAGAACCCCCCCAGCATTCCCAAAGGTAAGGAGGCTGGGGGGGTTGAATTTAAAAACAAAAGTGAGTGTTAATGTGAGTGAGTGTGTGTCTGTTAGTGTGTGTGTGTTAGTGAGTGAGTGTGTCTGTGTTAGTGTGTGTGTGTTAGTGTGTGTCAGTGAGTGAGTGTGTGTGTCTGTCAGGGAGTGTGTTACTATGTGTGTGTCTGTTAGTGAGAGTGTATGCAGGTCTGTTAGGGAATGTGTGTCTGTTAGTGAGTGTGTATGTCTGTTTGCTAGTGTATGCGTGTCTGTCGGTGAATGTGTGTGTATTTAGAAGGCGGGGCAGGGGGGAAGGGTGCCTGATTTTCGTTATGCCTAGGGCAGCACAAAACCAGGATACACCACTGTCCCTATCCTTACATGAAAGCTATTCACAGCAGTAACTCTTATAATTTGAACCAATCATAGGGACCATCTCATTGATAGAGATATAGATAGATAGATATATATCACTGTCAAGACATCGCTTGCTACTGGTAAAGCTACCACCTAGTTAACCATGCAGAGTTATGTGAATCCGCTATCCGTGATGCCTACAAGCAATTGTTTATTTCTCACGGCTTATCCTCAAGTGTCAAAAGTAGTGTCAGGATTTGTTTAACTAGCCTTACGAGGCTCTGTTAGAATACTGCTTTTTCAATAAAATATGTAATAAGTTGAGTGCATGGTACTCTACCTATCAGAGAATTCCTAACAATTACAAAATGCATTTTGATTTTAAGATGGTTTGACTTCATATCTGGCATCCATTGGACAACATTTCTGGCTTTCAGGAATTAAGTTCATGCCAAAATTAGTAGGGGGTTGAGGAGCAGTCCTTAAGGGACACTCCAGGCACCCAGATCACTTCTGCCCATTGGAGTGGTCTGGGTGCCAACTCCCACTACCCTTAACCCTGCAGCTGTAAATATTGCAGTTTTCATAAACTGCAATAATTACATTGCAGGGTTAACGCCTCCTCTAGTGGCTTTCTACTAGACAGCACTTCCTGGTTTCTAACACAGGTTTTCTGTGCTACAGCGTCACTCCCCCGCCGGCCGCTGCGCATGCGCGATCGGTCTCCCCCGCTGGATGACGTCAGCAGGGGAGTAGTGTGGACGGACCCAAAACCGCCGCCGAGGGACATCGGCGGGGATCTCACGTAAGTCACTGAAGGGGTTTTCACCCCTTCAGCAACATGGGATGGGTGGTGGGAGGGAGAGGGTACCTCAGTGCCGGGAAAACGGTTTGTTTTCCTGGCACTGGAGTGTCACTTTAGCAGACCTCAGAAACTGCTATGTTTACATCTGAAGGGTTAAAACCTGAGGGACCTGGCACCCAGACCACTTCATTGAGCTGAAGTGGTCTGGGTGACTATAGTGTCCCTTTAAGTTGTTTATAACCTCAGGTAAACAGGTAAGAGGTCAAATCGTTCTACAATGGATTGCCTACTCAAAAGAATATAAATGTTTATACTTAAATAGCTGGAATTTAGAATAAATAAGTACATTGCTGACAAGTTATTTTCCAGTTCAACTAATCTGTCCTAAACAGTGAAATTTACATGAGACAGCCCACCACAGAGTGAATAACACTGTATGGGTCAATTTCAAAAAATTTACTTGCTAAAAATAATTTAAGGAACGCTTCAAGCACCATAATCACTACAGTGAGTCCCCAATGCAAGTAGTCAAACGGTTTCACTTCTTTCCAGTTCCATAAAGTAGTAATAAACAGTCTGACTGCTTTCAATAAGGGGAAGGGGCACCAGGGTTCTCCTAGCACCATAACTACTTCAAAACGGCGTTTCTCACAACACGTGTTTAAGGCAGCTTGACAAAGTCTAAAAGACGTGCAATTCTCTCCGTGCAAAGCACAGTCAATGAACATTTATCATCAAAGCAGATTTATTCTTTATCTTTAAATTACTAGGAGTATTCTTATAGAATGAATCCCGAATGACATCAGCGACCTCTGCCGTGATACAACATGTCCGCCAGGCTCACAACAGCCTGTTACACAACATAACCCGTACCTTGCTCATCTCTAACCTGCGCTGCTCTCCTGGGGCTACCAGGAGCCACAATACACCTCCGACCCCACCGAAAGCACCCAGGGTCAGCGTCGTAATTACAATCCGCCGCACCGTCTCCATAGCGACCTGCTGCCGCCAAGCGAAGGCACCGTGTGATGGGATAGAATGTTGCTTTCGGTATCATCGAGACTAAAATACGGATAGAGCGTCGCAACTTACATAATAGAGAGAAAAGTCGAGATAGAATGTCTCTTGCATAAGGGATGGGAAACTAGTGTGTTCTAGGCTTTCATGTATTAAATGTGTGGGAATGGCTGACCTGGAGGAGGCTCTTTGTAGGGGTTATATAGGATTTTCTGCTTGTTGTTTTAGCCTGTTTACCATTACATAGGGATGTTTTATATTCTCATAAATCCAATAAGGCACTGCCACTGGGGTCCTGGCATATTTTGTCAATACTTTGACCAGGCATGTCTCCCAAGTGTCCCTATTTAGGGTCCAAATCCCTCTGCCCCTATTTTGTATCCGAATGTCCCTCTTTTTCAGGAGCTCCATATTTTTGGTGTTTCTGAGACTGTATAACAGAGCTCTGCAGCAATAATACAGTAATGTGTCTTTAAACTACAATTAAAGGATCACTATTGTGTCATGAAAACAAACTAGTTTTCCTGACACTATCGTTCCCTAATGGTGCCCCCACCGTGATGGTCCCGCTCCCTTGACGCTGAAGGGTCTAAAACCCCTTCAGCTACTTACCTTAATCCAGCGGCTTTCTTGGCGCTGGTGACCTCTCCTCCCCTGCCGACCTTGGCAAGTGCCGCGCGTGCTTTCAAACAGTCCATAGGAAAGCATTTCTCACTGCTTTCCTATGGACGTAATGCACGCTGGATGCGCCTCTAGTGGCTGTCAGGAAGACAGCCACTAGAGGCTGGATCAACCCTGCAATGTAAACATGGCAGTTTCTCTGAAACTGCTATGCTTACATCTGAAGGGTTAAAACCTGAGGGACCTGGCACCCAGACCACTTCATTGAGCTGAAGTGGTCTGGGTGACTATAGTGTCCCTTTAAGTTGTTTATAAGTAATAAATAATAATACGTCAGTAAATAAAATTCCTTGTTTTGTACGAGCATATTCACTAGGGATCGACTGAATTTTTTTAGCGATTATTTATATTTATTGATAGCAAAATAGACAGTTTAAACACCCCCTTTAAATAAATGGGGTAAGATGAACTGTTTAGAAGGGGAGAGCTTGCAAAAGTTTCAGCTAATAGATCTTTAGTATTTGCAAGCTGTTGCATTTTTTTTTAATTTGGGGTATATATGCTAAACAGTGATTTTTATGTATTTCTTTGTGCTTGGGCAGTGAAGTGTCCCTGCTCATCTTTCTCTGTCACTGTAAGGGTGGGGGGCAGGCTTCCCTTATCTCTCTAGTAGCTCTATACTGCCAGGTACTGACACAATACTGACTGTATATATGGTAATAATTTAATTATACATTGTTGTGGTCAGTGATTTGCTTGCATTTAATGTGGAGGGGTGATAAGTAAACACAAGTTTTTAGTGTTACTTTAATCTGTGGTATGCCCACTCATCCTTGACGTATCACATTGTTTTGTATAATAAATTATAATTTATTTTAAAGAGGAAATGTCACTTCTCTTTTACCCTGTGACTATGTCCCCTTTAATTAAAAATACTATTAGTTAAAAATACTATTTGTGCCTTTTGGGACTTGGCACAATGGTTCTTCGAACTTTCGAGTGGCACTTCGGATACAGTCGAAGTGGCTGACATTCGACATTTAAACACGTGGCGGCGTCCATCTTATTTGGTCGAATGTGTTCCGCTGTGTTTTGTCGTCGAGCTCATGGAACTCAAATCAAATCGGACACGCGACGGCATGAACCCCGCTGAACTGTTACCTTCCAGGGAACTTCGACTATTCGAACGGCGTTCGGTGAGTCGAAGCCCACGAACAAGGGAGACACATTGACGGTGCTCATTCACCATTCCATTCGGTAATTCGAACAGTACTTTGACTATTTAAAATACACCGGCCGCACAGCCTAATTCTCTGGAACTGTTTTGGGCATGAAACCATGCGTGCGGTCGGTCAAAAAGAGACTTCCAGGAATTTCCTGAACCCCTGCTCTGATCTGGGTGATTTTAGATACGTTGTTCAACCAGATCAGGGCTATCAGGGGATGTGACCCCCCTTTGATACAAGACTTCTGCAGCTGTTCCTGGATGTCCTGAGGAGTAATTATGTCAGGTCCCCCGCCCCCACGCCGCTCGCGGCGACCTTGCTTACCTTACCACAGCGAGCACTTCATCTGGTCCCTGTCTTCAGACTGGCAGTGTGTCTGACGCTGCAGAGCAGCTTCCTTATATGTGTGATGCACCCGGTCATGTGACCCGGCACACAGTGATGACCTCAGAGACCACAAGGGAGGGAAGAAACTCCTCCCACGTGTTGTGGTTAACACTAATTGGAGGTTAGCCAATCAGACACACCCTGTGTGTATATAAGCTAACCCCTCCCTTTGTGGGGATATTTATGGGATAATAATAACAGTTGAGAATTGCCCACTAATTCAATTCTCAGATCCCAAAGAACGTTTATCGTGTTAAGTGGAAAGTATTTCATATAAATAATCACAATGTATAAAAATAGATTTTATTTATGATAACCAATAATTAACAAATAATATTATGTAACATGCATGACAATAATCAATGAATATTCAGTATAAAATGGTATGCAATACAAAGGAATGGGTATTACGTTTCAATGGCTATTACAGCATTTTCTGTCAAGACTTTATAATTTATGACTATGCTTACACAGACATAGTGAAACTTTTCACAGCGAAGAACAGAATTCCTCAGAGTGCAGCGTAAGGTCGTAAAGTTTAGCTGACAGTTAGAATAATCCTTTCAATGCTGGCTAGATCTCCTAGGTAGTTAAGATTTATTCTTATGTAATTTTAAATAAAATAACATTTAACCCAGTTCATTAGTCATTTCCTGAAATCATCCAATAAGAGAATCTACCATATTATATAAGCAGATTTTTAATTTGTCTAAAAGATATCTATCTTAATTTAGAGCAAATCAATACACCTGGATAAAACAGCGGTATGCTAACACGTGATAATATCACATCAATATATAATTATTCTTAATTCCACCTGCAGAATGGAATGTTTATAACTATATATTCTTTAGTTAACTAAGATTTCTTAATATGGAAATCTGACCGTGCTTTATCCTAGTCATATATCATGCTATTAATGCATTTTAATTAATTTAATTAATTAAAACCAGTATAATTACCAGTTGAGTAGATATTTCATCCGATTGGTAGTCTCAGGAACTTATTTGGATGTCTCTCTGCATGGAGGTGTTGGTTAGAAAGTCAGTAAATTCTAAGTGTTAGAGTTTTAGGAGTAGAGTGTTAGTCTCAGATGTTGTCCGAGTTGGAATCTCCAAACTTCCAATTCCTCTCTCCTCTCCTTTGCATCTCTTGCATCTGCCTCCTTGTCTTCCCTTTGTCTTAACTTTTAAAGGGCCAGACTCTCTGTACGTCATCAGTTGATAACCCAATAGAAGCACTAGAGGTGTGGTTATCTTCCAGATCACAAATTAGTTATTTGGTCTATAGAGGGCAGTCTTGTCCCACTAAACATACCTATCCAGGAAAGAGTTAACTTTTCCTGGTGGCTATTTTGACGTCATTTTGCTTATCTCAAATGACCACTATAACTTACGTATCCTTCAAAGATCAAAGGGTTTCTTAAATTTTGTCCAGACTATGTGTCTGGCAATTCCTGCCATAATTTCTGATATGGCAGATCATGAACTAAGTTTACCCTTTTCCATACAATGGTACCTTATACATATAGACAGTTAAATATTAAATTATTTAATCTTCTCTGTCACAATTGTCTGGGTTTAGATTTGATTATATTCTTCTTATCACTTGTTTATACTATGCATTCATTAGCTCTGGCAAAGAGGCCAGTCTTACAGAAAGAATTTTGTGTCTTTTTGTTAACTTGGAATAACAAAATGGAGTCTGATCTGTTCAGAGTGACTCAGAATATACACTTTTAGTTTCTATCTTAGCACAAAATGTCTGCCGATATAAATACTCTGACATAACCCCCCTTTAGTGCATTTCATAGCCAAAATTAATTTAGCTTATGAATAAGCACTATAGAAGTTACCAGACATATTGTGCAATCACATCATTTCTAACATAGTACATTATTTTCATTTGAAAAATGTCTTTGAGAGTTACATATGGTATGGCCAATAAAAAGCAAATCTCCATACGTTCCGGATCAATTAAGAGAGGTATAGCGCTCCCCATCTCAAAGGCCAGATTTAATTGCATAGGCTCAATTGTCTCTCCATCCACATTGGCAAGCATCACATGAACAATATCCTTGGATACAAAGTACAGAGGTATGCGTCCCCCTGCCAATTCGATCATTCCAGTTTGCACTTTGTCGAGAAAAGCAAGTGTGTGGAACAATATTGGGTCATGCAGAAATAGAAGTTCACGCTTAAATAAGTCATGACTTTGGTGCAACTCAGTGGTTTTGGCAATTAACTCCGAATGCAAATTTGTTGTAACAA